CCGGCAGCGGGGGTGAAGGAGCCTCGAAACTGTGCCCGGGCACTCATTCTAAGGAGTAGGACCGTCCGTCCCAGCCGCTCTGCGATCCCGGGAGACGTATGCAACGACATGGCGAGCCACGCGTCTCGGACCTCGTTCTCGGGGATGCCGTCCGCCGCCAGCCTTGTGGACGTGAGCCGCGTGAGGCGAGTTCTTCGTGGAGCTGCTCGTGGGCTGATTACCCAGAGACTGGTGGCTTCCCGAGTTTTGACGAGGTAAAGAGGGGGTTCCCCTTGCGTTGTTGCCGGTGCTGTTTCTTGATGGGGCAGCATCACTTTCCTCGCCGCTGACGGCCGATTCCGCGTCTGAGAGTTCACTTTCCGCTGTGGAGGAGGGAGAGTTCTTTGCTGCGCGCTTGACGCGGGAGAGGCCGGATTTGTTGGCTGTTCCGCTTCGGGGGTCGTTCCCACCGAGGGAGGAGCCTTTTTTGTGGGAGGCAGAGATGCGACCCGAGCTGCTGGAGGGGGTGCCGGCTTTGCGGTTGGCGACTCCAGAGCCTGATGCCTTAGATGAGGCTCTGGGGCCGGCGCTGCCGGCTCGTTGGTTTCCTGCTGCGGTTGTGTGGCCCTTTGGGGTGCCGGGGCCGAGGGAGGAATGGCGGGCCAGGCCGGAGGATGTGGTTGGGAGGTTGGAGAGGCTTGTGTTGAGACGGGGGCCACGTTTGGGAGGACCGGCGGACCCTTCGCGGGCTTGCCGATTCATGATCATGCTTGCTGCTGGGGTTGCGGGGGCCGAGGCCGAGCCATGATGTTGAGCCTGGGTATTTCGAACCTGAGAGTTGGAACCACGCATGGAAGATTGTGATACACTGTTTGCGAGGTGACTGAGAGAAGACCCGTTGGTGCCGCTTGGGGGGCGAACAATGGGACTGTTTGTGATATTGGCAGCGCTTGGGCGGATTAGAGACGGCAGCTCATCCGGGTCGGCAAATCCTGGCTCGTTCCGGTCATACAACATCTTGATTTGTATGTCGAGATGGCGGGTGTGTTTCTCTATAGCCTGTAGTACTTTGGCGCTGAGGGCAAGCTTTTCGTCGGATAGTTGTTGAAGCAAGTCATAGTTCTTTATTGCCTTTGCGCGGATTTCTGCCTCCTTCGGGTTGGGCTGGTGGCTGCCATGTGCCTTGATCCATTTCTGTAACCGTTCATCCAGCTCGTCCTTTTCCTTGTTGAGTGCCGTATACCGCAGTTCCTTATCTCGAAGCTCCTCCTGCATAAAGCGAACTTCCTCGGGAAGATTCTGAGCCCGGTTGATAAACTCATCCAGGACCAGTGCCGGGTCAAGCTGCTCGACTGGTGGCATTTTGCGCACGAAATCGATGGATAGATCGTCTCTAGGCATGATGAGTGTTAACTCACGCGAGTTCAGCGTGTGCTTATATGGCGGTATGAAAAGTAAGACTGATAAGTTGAAGGGTATAGCGCAGTCAAAATTTAGGGAAATCCTGACATCGACTCTTGGGCAGGTCTGGCTGTTGAAGGAGAGAACTCGAATGAAAAGACTGAGAGAGAGAAAAAAAAAAGCGGATGTATATCAACGCTTATAAACTCCGAATGCGCATTGAGTGAGATGAAATCGATATAGAGAGAGAGAGAGAGACTGGGGCAGGCAAGAGAGCAAAAGCGAGAGCAGGCGCGTGGAGTCGCGAGTGGGACGACTCCAAGCCGAGAATGACGCAGCGTGCCTCGGTGCTCTTGAGGCTTGTTTGGGGAGAGCTTGGGGTTTTGGGTCAAGAGCAAAGATTCCGCTTGCTCACCTCAGGAGCCAGACAACACGACTGTCTCTTTTTCCTGTTGTCGAAAAAGAAAAAAAGGACCTTTTCACGGTGGTGTTTGTCGCTACGTGTGGATGGAGGTTACTGTATGCAAGTTGATATGATCCCTGTCCACCAAAGGGAAAGGTTTCTGGTGTGGCGGCTGTGGAGTTAATCGTCAAAAATGGAGAAAGGCTGCCCCTGCCGGATTACGGCTGACTAGGCCCAAAGCGGTTAGCCTCTTTCACGGTTAGGGATCGCCACGCCAGACTGGTGCAACCACCATTTGCAGATGGGCAGCTTCCGGCGCCAGGGTCTTTTCAAGATCTCAACTCAGCACCGTCTTTCAAACACAATCAATTTGTTACACTACACAGTTCCTCACTTCACACAGGCAGTCTTTTACTGTCTATCACGGTTGTAGGATACCCAGGTGCAGAAATCACGATCATCATCATCATCATCACCATCATCACCGTCGTGAAGCGATAACCAGCTGGAATCATTTACGTGACTGCACTGGTGAATTTTACGCGACGGTTTTCATCTCAGCGAGCTATCATTCATCACAAGTCAGTATATTCGTCGAAATTTTTGTACATCGAGAGCTTGCTCAACTTCGAGCTCCAGCTTGTTCCGAGGCGAGGCCCGTATATTTTATGAAGCTCGGCGGCAGGGCCCGTATTTCTTTCGAAGAAAGCTCGTTCCCAAGCCCTTCACTCACCTGAGATTTTCATCCCATCTCACACAAACCCACCACCACTTCGAAATGATGGACGTCGATTCGTACCGCTGGCGTCCGCCAAAGACAAATTACCTCCCTCACAACATCGACATGGATCCAGTCGTGGAGGAATTCGAGATCCCACTCGGAAGGGCCAGCGACCACGAAAACGCCGCCTACTTTGAGAAAATGAAGCTCGCCGCCCAAGAGTTCAACATCGTCAGACCCAAAGGGTACACGGTCTCATACCACGCGACCTCCGAGATGGAAAAGCACCATTTTGGCCAAACCCACCCAATGAAGCCCTGGCGTTTAACTCTCACCAAAAGCTTGGTGACAGCCTATGGCATGCCCTTCGCCATGGACAACTACAACACCCGGCACGCCACCTACGAAGAGCTGAACTCTTTCCACTCGAGCGATTATCTGGACTACCTCGCGACGGCCGCCCCAGAGGACCAACCCCGAGACCTGGATAACCCCGACAAGGACGTCAAGTTCAACCTCGGCGGTTCCGACTGTCCCCTCTTCCACGGTCTCTACGACTACTGCTCCATGTCAGCCGGCACCTCCCTAGACGCCGCCCGCAAAATCTGCAACAAACAATCCGACATCGCCATCGCCTGGGGCGGTGGCCTTCACCACGCCAAAAAGTCCGAAGCCTCCGGGTTCTGCTACATCAACGACATCGTCCTCGCCATCCTCCAGCTCTTGCGGCTCTACCCCCGCGTGTTATACATCGACATTGACGTCCACCACGGCGACGGCGTAGAAGAGGCCTTCTTCAGCACCGACCGCGTCATGACCGTCTCGTTCCACAAGTACCAACCCGAAGTCTTTTTTCCCGGCACCGGCGGGCTGAACGACAACGGTCCGAAATCCGAGCACAACCCCGGAGCTCACCACGCCATCAACGTCCCCCTCAACGACGGCATCACAGACGAGCAGTACGAGCACCTGTTCAAGTCCATCATTGGGCAAGTCAACACCACGTTCCGCCCGAGTGCGATCGCCCTCCAGTGCGGCGCCGACTCTCTTGCGGGCGACCGACTTGGTAGGTTCAATCTGAAGGTAGAGGGTCACGCGGCCTGCGTGAGGTTTTGCAAAAGTCTAGGCATTCCCATGATTTTGTTTGGTGGGGGGGGGTACACGCCCCGAAACGTGGCCAGGGCGTGGGCGTACGAGACCTCCATCGCGATTGGCGCCGACCAGAACATTCCGGCGGAGATCCCGCAGCATGCGCCGTGGAGGCAGCACTTTGTGCACGAGACGCTTTTCCCGACGCTGGAGCAGAGTATGAGTGAGCCGAGGAATAACAAGAATACAGAGAAGAGGCTGAGGGACATTGTGGCGCATGTGCATGAGCAGTTGAGGTTTGTGCAGCACGCGCCGAGCGTGCAGAGCAGTATTATCCCGCCGGATTTGGGGCCGGTGAGGGATGAGGTGGAGGAGAGGTTTAAGGAGGAGAGGGGGGAGAGGGAGGGGGATGAGGTGGAGCGGAGGGTGAAGGAGCAGGGGTTGGGAGTGGAGGGGGAGATGGCTGTTTAGGAAGGGGTTTTTCTTCTTTGCCACCTAGGATTGGTCTGGTTGTAGTTTGGAGGGTGAGATTATGAGGAGAAGAATTCAGGGAGTTGGCAGGTCGAGAGTATAGGTTATTTTCAAGTGTACTCGGGTGGCCATGTGGTATTACTGGTGTGTCTTTCAACACCGTGCGAATGGTTTTTTGAGGCAGCGTGCCGTCTTTCTAGCTGATTTCAGAAGGCTTTTGAACAATGATAATCCAGTGGAACAGAAGACAGGTAGTCCATAAGAGGTATCTTGAAATATGGTTGATGGTTTTTGAAACAGGTTGGATAGATACTTGTACGAGAGTCTTCGATTGGTCTTGCGCAATATGTTGCCAGTCTTGTTCAAGAGCAGGTGTCGAAACGATAGTTTTCTAGGTTTATAGACATCGAAAAGATTAAAATGACGTCGTGCGCGCCAATTTGGTAGGTTAGGTGTCGCCCACTGGTAATAGTCTTGTCCAAGCAGCAACTGTGACCCGTACTCAAGGTATCACGAGAGAGAAAGCGGGCAAAGGTCCGATATGCAAATGTTAAATATTCGACTGCTTTGCTTACCACTCATGCTCAACATAAATGCCCCGTTAAACCAAAAATCCTTAGTGCGCCATCGCCATGTGCCCATGCGTTCCTCCTCCCACCATGCAGGTATCATCCAAACCGATTTGTCCATGTCACACAAAAACACCATTATGGTCCTCCAATCCCTTTTCCTTTTCCTTTCCAACATTCATCTTGCTTCTTTTTACAAATCACCCCCGCTATTCTGATAACTCCGCGACAATCTGTTTCTCCTGCTCTTCTTGCTGAAGCTGGACCTCCCCTAGTGATTCCACCTTGGGTCACTGAACGCACCGTATGCCTCCTCTGAAAGCATCTTCCTCTTGATCATCTTTGCCTTGATAGCCACGAAGCCTACCAGCCCGAGACCAACTGCCAACCCCAAACTCAACAACATCACATTCACCGGAAGAGGATTGCCCTTGAAGGTTTGGTGAAACAAGAAATCCAACCCAGACTGCGAGAAGTTGAAGACGCCAGACAGGCAGATAATCGTACCGTAAACCTTGCCAAACGTCCTGAATCCAAACACCTTGGCGCTGTAGTCCGACACCGCCGTGTAATAAAATGGACGGTAAAGAACAAACAGGCAAATATTTCCGTACGCAGCCCATGTCTGCGGGATGATACCCAGGACGCCGATCGTGGTGGCGCATGTGACGAGGCAGGCAAGCACGGTAACGGTGCTGGTGTGGTCGAGAATCATACCAATGAAGGGAATGCTGAGAATACCGCCGATGGGGAGAGCGAGGTCGAAGAATTCGTTGATTTCGGCCGCTTTTTCGATAGAGCCAAAGATGGCTTCGTACTGGGCGCGAATTGTGGCAACGAAGTAGTTGATGCGGGTCATTTGGATAACTGTGAACAACCAAACATTAGACGCACGTCGAGGATCAGATAAAGCAGCAGCATACCAGTAAAAGCGCAGATCAAAATAAACCAAGGGGACTTGATCTGCTCCCAAGACGTGTAGGGGTGCATGACACCCCAGACACCCGAGATCTCATTCTTGCGCTCCTCGCGTTTCGCTTGCTTGTCCGCCTTGGCCGAGCCGAGCACGTTCTGGAGACCCTCGATGACATCAGCGCGATGTTGCCTTTCCTCCTCCTGGAGCAGGGCGGTTTCTTCGTCAACCTGGTCATCCGGTTCCTCGGCGACTGGCTCCTCGATCTCCTCCACCAGCTCACCAACCGTCTTGTAAGACTGAGATGGCATCAGCGTAAACTGCAAGATGATGATCACCACAGGTACAATCAAGTACACCATGAAGAACCGCTGATGTCCAAAGGCGCCCTCTGACTTTTGAAAGATGATCCGGTACACCAAGAACAAGGCGCTGGAGGCGTCGAAAGCGCCCGTCAAGAGGGCCAAAATGAGACCCGAGTTTTTGGGGAAGGCATTGGACAGCTGGAACGACGAGATGTAGGTAAAGGGGCCTCCCAGAGCCAGGAAAAGATAACCAAGCAACAAGCCGTCAAAAGGCAAGCGGCTCTCGTTGGCCATCAGCGCCGCGCCAATGGCCAGGAAGAGACTGCCAAGTACACCACACACCCGAGGCCCATAGTGATCGAGGATAGCTCCAATAGGGAGAGCAGCAACATTCGTAGCCACAGCAGCCACCGTGAACATCAAGTTCAGATGTATCTCTATGCATGTGTCCTCACTGACTAGGCCGCCCGGGGCTGAGCAGATATCTTTGTAGGCACCCTCCGACTTGAGGACTGGCTTGATGGCGGCATATCCAAAGACAACACCGGACGCGAAGAGGCAGTAGAAGACGGCGGCGGCAACCTGGACTGTTCTCACACACTGCATGAGCACACTGGGGCAACGACACCAAAAGGCCACAGTGAGGAGATGCGAGACCTACGTAGACGCTTCCAGCGAGGCACCTCAAAGGCGCCAACGGCATGAAGTTGGTCCAGGCCAGCTGGAGGATCCCATTCTTGCGGGAGTGGGTTGAAGGTTAATTTGCGGGCGCGAGCCGAAGCATCGGAGCTCCTCCTTGACCTCTGGTCGGTTGGGAGGATGGCGAAAGTTTCGAGCGACGCAACACGATGCAGTGACATGGTGGGCTTGTGCTTGGGCTTTGCGGGCACGGGGAAGAACAGCAAGAAGGGGAAAAGTCTGTTTTCGCCGTCACGACCTTGGACGAGACTTATATCCGAGTCGGACCAAAGACTGGACGAACAACAGGATCTTTGGTTCGTCAATGGCTTGGACTTGGAGGGGGCCGGCCGATAACAAGCTCTGAGGGTGGGGATTCTGAATAGCTCCAAGCAGCCAAGAAACGCTTCTTGCAGCCCCGGTCCTTGCGGGGCTGCCAAGCGACTGTGGGGAAATGGCCGTCAGTGGAGGATGCGGGTGACAGGCTGGAATATGTCAAGAAAGACAGGGTCGGATGAATTTTCATAGGAAAACAAAGAGGAAAGAGGATGAAATAAAGAAAGAAGCTAAACAGCAAGGGGTGTCGTGGCTGTTGTAAACATCATCCCATCTCTTGTCACTTGACGAGATGCAGGTGCAACTGGTCCCCAGCCTCCCGTCCGACATCGTCTCAATATCCACTGGAGCGGGGGTGATGAGGAAGCTCCGAAGCCCAGGCCATCGGCCGGGAGCGGCATCCAGAGTTGATGATGCAATGCAGAGACAGTTGCAGATATTTTTGCAATTGCAGGTGACTGTGTTCAGAAGCTACCGCAGATGTCCATGATGCACATGCACGAAGCGGCTAACCCCGCATGCCCATCAGCAGCTCCGATTGGTCCCGAAGCCGTGTAAGACGGCCTGGCTGAGACGGCGTTGCAACGCGTTACCTTTTTCATTCTCATCATCGGCTTCCCCTTTTGATATCATGGTATAAGAGAGAGAGCGAGCTCTCATAACATTACCCTCTCGAACTATGTCGAGTTGACCCTGTGAAGGTACAGAACTAAGTTTACAAGCCTCATCGGCTCTCTCCACATGTGGCTACGAAAACTGGGCTGAGGGCTTGTCAAAATGGCAGTGGTCAAGACATCAATCAGGCTTGTGGCTTGTGTTGAGAGCTTAATTTTCTCGACACCGGTTGGTTTTTCGAAGAAGAAAAAAAGCCAACCTTCTTCTGTGTTTGACCTCAACCATTGACGCCTACCAGTATCAACTGCGACCGCACTCATGTGGAAATCGCGCTGCGCCCTCTGCGACTGTTGGTCGCCTGGCTATCTGGAAGATGGCCGGCACAGGAGCTTCAGGCCGACACGACTGACGAATCTGAAAGTTTTCGGCGCTGATCCGAGCCTTCGCTGCACAAGAACTCAAGAGTCAGGAACAGCGTTCGCGGGGTAATTGGTATCTTGTCATTCACCATGAAGCACAGTTTCTAACCGCCTCTCAGTACACGATGACTGCTTCCGTATCTTTGTGCGATACCGCCAAATATCAGAGCAGGAGGTACTGACAGCGCTGCGGGAGCTTTCCATATGGAGCCAACCATGGAATATTCGCCCCAAGCCACAACTAGAGAATAGCAACATCGAGATCCTCCCTGTACACCATTTTGCTGCAGCTCTCGGGCTTGCCCCAGCTTACCCGGCTGCCACCCGAGCTTACGAAGATGATCCAAAACTTTTCGGCCGACAACCTTGTTTGGAGGCTCACTCGAGTGATTGGGCTCACGGGAAATGGGCCCCCGCTGTCTGTCATGCCACAAGCTTTTCATCTATCCAAGATTTCCGCTTGGGAGCGCGGCGGAGAACCTGTCCTCGCAGCAAACGGTTGTGAGTCGGCCATGCCACAGATCATTCGTCTGACCGTCGACTCGCGCGGACTTCAGAGGGTTGAAAGGCTACAAGAAAAGCCCGCTCATCGCCCTGGGAGGTCCGAATCGAAGGCCTTTGCAGTGTTTGATGAAAGGGATGTGCGAGGGGCCGTTTTGTGGTTCAAGGTCTGTCCCTCTGGCTCCTCTATCAGCGCCCTCACCGATACTGACCTTGCCTTGGTAGTCTGGTCTCGGGCGCCTTACGTCTGGGGAGTGTAAATCCAGATTCGCAATCCCCATATGGGACACGCCCACACCCCCTACTAGGATAAACCTACCGCCTATGGTTGAGCGGTGTTGGACCGTGGAATTGGAACAGGGCGAGTTGTATCACTTTTATGGTCGGCGGGGATGGCATCAAGGGCGTTCACGCCCATACGGATGGATCATACCCCTGTGCCGCCACTGCGCCCAAGTCTTTGAATCATTGCCAATGGATATACGTTCCTACCCCACCCGGCGACAAAATCACGGCATGTCGTGAAGTTGTTCTGGGCTACCATACGGCATTACTGGTATGTTGTATCGCATGCTCATGACTACTCTGCTTGTTCTGTCCGCAGCATGCTTACATATCACATCATAGTTTCGCAGGGAGCTCTCTGGTATCGGTTGGGTTGGGGGTCTATTTTGTCTACGGTACAACAGCCATCAGACCTACATGGTAAATGAGCACAGCATCATGCCCACGGCACTGGTTCTCCATCTCAAAATGAACCGCGATGGTTCCTATCAGAAACCATCAGCACTTTCTGTTCAGGGTTATCGTGACCCTAGCATCGGTCAACCAAGCCCCGTACCACCGTTGCGCCCACGCGATGCTCACTTGAGCCGCGACAGTTTCGCTCGACTCGGTGATCTAGCCAGCATTCAATTGTTCTACTTTCCAGCAAACAACAAAGCAAAGACTCATAGCTGGACAAGTAACCAAGTCTACGGCATGGTGCTCAGCTACAACAACGGCGCCCAAATTGCCTGGGCAAGTGCCGTTTTGACTTGTGCAGGATTCGAGTTTTCCACAAGCCTTCCCAAATGATGGTTGTCAGAGGGCAGACATGCTGCTGTCAGATAAATCAACCCCTGGCAGGCACTTGGTCCGACTATGAAAAGCACGAATCGCGTTGCCTAGTGGAACAGACGTTTGTCTTGCCCTCCCCCAGGGAAGTGTATTTCAACAAGGCGGGTGAGAAGGGCAGTAGGTGGTTAGTTAGACCAAAAGCGGAAACATATCCTATGACTGACGAGTATGAAATTGTACGCTTGATGGACAGCCTTCGAGTTGGGGACTGGTGGAAAGTACAGCGTGCGAAGGCTTAATGAACCGAGCTTTGCTGGAAAGACTCTGAGAAGATAGGTAGGTAGCTACTCCGTACCACTCAATTTATGAATGGGCAGTTTCCGCCCCCAACCCGCATCTGCTGCTTCTTCTCTATCGTCTCGGCATGTTCAGATGGAGTCTAGGCGGGGTCGACTTCAATGCGATATGCCCAATTGTGAGGGTACGCAACCGCCATGCCACATGCCATGGCAGTGAAGGCGCTTTGCTTGGGCTGCTCACTGGCTGGAGACGGGCAGACCTCTAAGCGCCCACGGTGCAAGGCCAATCACGGTTGCGCTCGCCGACGGGTCCTTGAGCGTGAAGCTGTGCGCAAGTGCCGCCACCTCCCATGTCGGTGCCCCTCCCGCGGAACAATCCCCTGTCTCTCCTCGGTGCTCCCCTGTCAGGAGGGTCTGCGCATCTGGCCGCATATTGACCTCGTCCCCGGTCTCCCGTCGACGTCTTGATCTGTAACTTTTTTTTCTGGCATTCCTGTCTCAACTGCATGTGCTTCCGGACATCATCCTCTAACTCGTTGTCTTCTGGGTGCTTCGTTTCTGGTTCAAGGAGGGGTTCGTCTTGCAGCTGACGCCTTGGCGAGAGGACGTCGTCTCCCAACCCTGCACCACCCCGCCTTCCATCAGGCAGAATCACGACCCTTTGCTGGCACCACTTGCAGCTTTCTCGGTGAGAGATATACACGCACCTCAAGGATCTGGAGAGGGAAAGCAGTCCCTAGATCCCGTACCTAGTTTCAACTTCTGTGCCCGGCAGTGGCAGTTTCAGCGCAAGCCGGCGCATATCACCCCGCACACCATCCTGACAAGATGGCCAGCCGGTCGCGCGATGTCCCGGATGATGAGCTCTTTATGAGCCGCCCAGCGCCGTCTGGGGAAGATTGCGACAGTCCGACCGTTGAGCCGTTGAGAATATTCAAACCACTGAGCCCGGCCCCCGATAAGGCATCCAACCGGCCAAAGTATCCCGCCCCGCCTTCATCGTCGTCTTCCTACTCGTCCTCGACCGCGGCAGGCCCATCGTCATCGCCAGCACCCAAGCCAGCAATTGCGTCCCTGCCACCACTCCCCTCGTTTCCTTTCGGGGGCTCAAGCTCTGCGGCGCCGCTTCCGTATCCTGACGACGACTTCCACAAGACTACCCAGCCATCAAAGCCCAGTCGGCTACCCTATCCAGATGATGGCCGCAAGACCTCTTCACCCGCGCCTGTTGGTAGGCTCTACAGTCCTCCACCGGTATCGTCAAGTCCCAAGCCGTACGGAGACTCAGCTTCACGGCCGACCCTGAACACGGGAGACAAGAAGGCTGGTCTTGCTGAACGACGTGGAACAGCACCCAAACCGCTGCAGAGCCCTGACAGCCCAGGGGATGACAGGGATGAGTTGTTCGCAAAGCCTCTCAGGAACCCAGCCGTTTCCATCTCGACCTCGACTTCTTCTTCGACTAGCTCTGCCTCTCCAGCGCCCAAAATTTCGAATGCCTATCAGCAAAAGCCCTATTATCCTCCTCCCGGCGGCGCAAGCAATATCAACCGCTTTTCGTCGACGGCGTCAACCTCGACAACTCGCGCCAGTCGTGGATCACCCCCGCCCCCTGAGACTCCTATTGTGGAGCCAGGTGCGATTCCTGGGGGCGGCATCGAGGCACGATATGCTGCTGCAGGCATCTCCGGGACCGCGACTCTCAATGCTCTACAAGCGCAACAGGCTCAAAGCGCTGCTGCACAGTCGCGACTGGCGCAATACGCTGGCCAACGTCCCCCGGCGCAGCCACAGCCCACCCGGCCTTGGACGCCGACTGAAGCTCCGGACCAGCAGCCCTTCGGTCCGCCTACGGTGTACCAGGGGGCCGATGTAGTCCCAAAACCCACACCACCGCAACAAGGAGGCTACAATCTTCCCCAGAATCCCAACCCGGCTTCTCAGGCCCCAGCAAGCAGCAACCTACAGGTTTCGGTATTGGAGCAAGACTTCCAGCGCATGCAAGCCTCGACTCCTCCGCCTGCCTATACATCTGTCAATCCCAGCGCAAACAGCTCCCAGTACCCGAACGAGAAGCAACGCCCGGTACCGACCAGCTCGAACTCGGCCCCAGCTGTTCCCGGCGTTGCGCAACACCCTGCCCAAAACGCGGCTCCGAGCCCTGCCCCCAGTGCCGTATCCCAGCACGCTGTTGCCTCCAGCTCCCGACCCAACGCCAGTCCGGCCCCGGCTGCTTCATCATCGCCAGCGCCAGAGAAGCCAAAGCCTGTTGCGAATACAGCTGCCGCCGTACCAGCACACAACGCCGGTCATCCCGCGTTTGCGAACGATCACCCCGCTTTCGCCAACGAGGCAAAGCCCGCAGCGGTGCAAAATGGGCAACCAGCGCTGGCACATACACCATCTCTTCTCGCGGCAGCGTCTTCTCCACCCCCGCTGCCGGAGGGCTGGATTGCGCATCTTGACCAAAACTCGGGACAGTACTATTACATTCACCTGGCGACCCAGGCCACACAGTGGGAATTTCCCAAGGGACCAACTCCTCTAAACCACGACGCAGCTCCCCTCTCGCCCACCACATCCACTTATGGAAACCCGCTTGCCTCGCCATTGTTGGGCGGCGGCAAGTCCGCGTTGGCCTCGCCCATGTTCCACTCCCAAGGCCATCCAGGCTACGCCGAGAGCATCATGAGCGTCACAGCATCGGTAGCTCCTTCGACAGCAGGATTCACGGGGCCTCCTCCCAGTGCCGGGGTCGATGTGTACAAGGTGATGCCAACAAACGGCGTCTATTTTGGACCGTATCTGCGCTATGTAAACATGGACCTGGAAAAGGGGGTCTGGCTTGGCAGCATCATGATCGTGACCGATGCGCCACAGCCTCCCACCATTCACATTCATCTTAGCATGGATCTTTCCCCCAATCCTCGGCAGCTTGTGCCAAATAACATACATGCGCACCAGAGGTGGACTTTCTGGAAGTACGATGTGGCGCTCCAGATGTCGGACCATGGGACCGAGAGGTGGACGTACGCAGTGACTTCGCACTTGGGATGCACACGGTACGAATTTGTCGTTGCAGGTCGCTATGAGACAGGATGGCGCATGCTTGCCCACTCTGGCAATGACTTTGCGCCGAGTACCAACCAAAACGAAAGGGCGAGGCTTGGTGGCGTGGGCTTCATGTGGAAGGATATCCTTCAAAAGAACATCGACTGCGGCGGGTTCCATGTCCAGCTCGGCCTAGGAGCTCAAATCTACGGTGATCGTCTCTGGAAGGAGGTGCCTCTTTTGAGGCAGTGGTTGGCGATGCAGGGGAGAGAAAACAGAAAGAATGCGCCGTGGACAGCGCGGCATCAGGAGGATGTGTCGCACGCGTACTTTCACTACTACACCAGTCACTTTGACCAGCCGTTTATGCGCGAGGCGTTTGCGCAGATTCCGCACGTTTTGCAGATTGATGATCATGATATGTGAGTGGTCAACCCCATTTTGGTTGCTCTACTTTGATACTGATTATTTGCAGCTTTGATGGGTTTGGCTCCTATCCCGACTACATGCAGTCGTCTGCTGTCTTCAAGGGCATCGGCCGGATCGCTATTGAGATGTATCTTCTCTTCCAGCATCACACTACAGTTGAAATCCTACGCAACGTCAGCTCAGACATGGATCTGTTCACTGTCACCGGCTCAGGCTGGCACTTCCTCAAGTACCTCGGTCCCGCCATGGTAGTCATCGGCCCAGACTGCCGCTCCGAGCGTACTCAAACCCGAGTCATGGCCGGCCCGACATACCAAGGCATCTTCCCCAAGGTGGCCACCCTCCCGCCCAGCGTCCAGCACTGCATCTGGATGATTTCGGTACCGGTCATCTACCCCCGTCTCGAAACAGTCGAAACCCTCGCCAACACCTTTGCCACGGGCAAAAAAGCCGTCAATACCACCTACAACATCCTCGGCAAGGTCACGTCCTCCGTCGCCGGCGTGGTAGGCGGCAAGGAGATGGTCCAGCACGGCTTCAAGGAAGTGAAGAAGGCCGTTGGAAAGTCTGGGCTGATGGGCAACGTCCTCAACCAGTTTGGCGAGTTTGACATTGCCGAAGAGCTCAAAGACCTTTGGACTCACGAGTCGAAGGACCTCGAGCGTACTTACCTCATCCGCACACTCCAGGGGATCGCCCAGCAAAAGGGTATCCGTATGACGTTCCTGTCAGGAGGTTAGTTCCCCCCCCCCTTTTTCTCTTTTCCATCTCCCCCTCCTAACCGCCTTACTAATTCTTGTGTCTCGTAGACGTCAACTCCTGCGGCGCAGGCCTAGTCCACGACCCCTCCCACCCCCAAGACCACAAAACAATGTACCAACTCATCGCCTCCCCCGTCGTCGCCGCGCCCTCGAGCAATTACCTCATGAAGATGCTCCACAACAACAAGCTTCTTTACGTTCCCCAGAACGGCCACAAGTCTACTCATGAAGTGTCGGACACAAAGGAGGACATGATGGAGATCTTCCATACTGATGCGTCGGGCGCGGCGAGGGAGCACAAGAAGCTGATGGCGAGGAGGAACTATGTCGCCATTGTGGCGTATGACCCGGAGGTGATTGCCAATGGGGGGCAGCAGGGGCAGGGGCAGCCGGGTTATGCGGGGAGTGTGCACAGTGGAAATTCGGGAGGGTTGAGCAAGTTGAGTTTGGCGGTTGATTTTGTGGTGCAGGGGGATGGAGCTTACACGGCGACGACCAAGTATGGGCCGGTGATTGTGCCGCATTTGGAGTTTGGGCACTGATTTGTAGGGGATGATTTTTTTTGGGATTATTTATTCCATTCTTTTTATTGTCGTGATGCTATCTATTCTACAGTTGGTGTGCTTGGATAGTTGAAATTTACATACACTTTTTGAGCATAATCCTGTACTGGGACGTTGTGAAATATAGTGATGGAAATTTGAAAGACAGATCTTATTGTTTTATTTTGCATCAAAAAGCAAGCAAGCCAGGCTACGCAACCCCCCCCATTAAGCGCCTTGCCTGCTAAAACACCTTGTTTTTGACATCAAAGCGACCCCCTCCCCCCCAAACCTTCAAAGGTCGAACATCTCCTTCAACTCCCTAATCGTATCCTCGGGCCCCTTGACCGAGTGCCCAGTCGTCCTGGGATCCTCATAAATCTCGTAATCGTTCCCGCCAACCATGGTCTTGTCGCCAAAGAAGTGAATGGTGGTATACTCGATCCCGCCCTCCTTCTTGGCGTCCTCCTCGAGGTGCTTGAGGCAGTAGGTCTTGTCCCAACCGGTGGGGAAGACGTCAAAGGAGATTTGACCGCCGATGGAGAACCTGTTTTTTTTTTGTCATAAATCAGCAAACCCATTTCCCAATCATGTCAGGCAATGATACGTACGTCAACCCCAAATGCCCAAACCTCTCCCTCAACCTCTCCACCATCTCCCTCCTCACACCCCTCTCCTTGTCGAACCTCTCAAACTCCTGCCTCTCCTCATTGCTCGCGTTGCGCCCGATGGGGGAGATGTTGACCATCCCGTTCCTGAACTCGACGAACGTCCCCCTCTTGATGGGGATGTCGAGGTCGGCGATGTAGTGCAGGACAAACTTGACGAGGTCTTTGTAGTTGTCTTCGCCGATGTACTTGATGAAGGAGTTGGAGGGGAGGGGCTGGCCGAGCTTGAAGGCGGTGAGGCCGTTTTCGGAGAAGCAAAAGTCGAAGAGGGAGGTTACGGGCACGCGGAGGGGGTCGCCGAGCTGTTCTTGCTGCTTGGGGAGGTCGGAGCCGCCGACGAAGCCGATGGCGACTTTTTGGCGGAGTTGGGAGAGGAGGAGGAGGATTTCGGGGGAGGCGTCCTTTTAAGATTTTGACTGTTAGTTTTGACCTTGCTTCAGAGACTCAAGGGGGTTTGTGCGAATGGGGACTTACAAGACGGGCGGGCGTCAAGGTCCCGTCGACGTCAAAGAGGACGATGGTGTTCTTGATTGGGCGCTCGGCCAGGGGGGGGTAGGTTTGGATCTCGGATCTGGTGGCCATGGTTGCGGTTGTATTTGTTTGTTGTCAAAGATTGTAGTTGAGAGAGCTCGAGAAAAGGGGAGTCGGGTTGTATAGATATTTGGCAAAGAGGCTCAGCGGTTGGAAAGAGAGCTCTCTCTCTCTTTTTAAACTTCAAAATCGCGGTGAGCAAGCAAGCAAGCAAGCAAGCAACACAACGCGGCAGCAGCAGCAGCAACAGTCTAGCCCAAAACAAAAAGTCCCACGTTGCCAGACAGGGAAGCTCTGAGAGGTCCGATTGCCCCTCATCTCATTCTCTCCTGGCTCTGGCTCTCACCAAAACCCCACAGTTGGACCAATTGCGGGGAAGTTCCCGGGAGCGAAGGGAGCTTGAGACTTTCAGGGGTCAAACACCACACCACACCTTGCACACACCTTGATGGACACACCCCACCATGTAAGTCTCACCTGAGCAACCTTGTCGTCGACACATCATATTGCAGTGTACAGAACCCAGAAAGATACAAAGTACACTCCATATACATTTCCTGTACACACCTATCAGCAAAACCCATATATCTGTCCTGTTCCAAAACACACCCAGCCTCATCCATCCCATCCCGTCTTTGTGATTCTCATATAGACATACGTAACGTACGTACACCACCTGTTGGTTGTTCCGTCTCGAACATCAAAATTAGACTTTCCTGAAGCCAGATATATTCTCTTTCCCCTTCCCATCTTGACACCTTTCCAAAACAACCAACCGAAAAACATTCCTCGCGCTCCATGGCTTTCACAAGCCCCAAAAAAACCACCACATCATACAAAAGGTAATATAAAAAAGGTAAAATTACCATCTGTGGCTGTTTGAACCTCTCTCTCCTGCCACGTAACCTGTCTCTATCCCTTCCCGCCACCACCACCACCACAATCTCAAACCAGTTGAACTCATTCCATCGTAATCATAGCTCATCACACCCAAAGTAATTTTTCACGACACATCCGCCCACACTCCCGTAAGCTCAACCACCAAATTGACCAGCGTGCTAACCGACCAAATGGCAATCAACACCCACCCAATCCTCCTCGTCATCATCCAGTTGTTCCCCGGCACCAAAATCAGCAGCACAATCAACGTCATCAGCACCGTCGCCGCCGAGATCATCAACGTGCCCCCAACCTGGATGTGATACGGCTTGTACTCAATCGGTCTGTCCGGGTGTTTCCTATGGCGCTTGTTCGCCTTCGTGATCCCCATCCACGCGCCCCCGATCCCTATCCCAAGCAGAATATTCAACATTGGACCTCCAAAGCATGCCGCCCTGTTTGTTTGTGCGAATTGTTAGCTTTTTTTGACTTGTGGTGATAATAACAATGACGGCAAACTTACAACGCCATAACCGGATACCCCAACCGAGCAACCGTCACATCAGCCACCAAATCCCCCAGCGAGTTCCCCACCGCAAACACGGTCAACCCCAAGATCGCCTCCGAAATGTCCAGAATAACCCCAAACGCCTTCATCGCCCCCACCACCTCCCCTGCTATCGTCGAGATCCACGCTACACTAATCACGAACCCGAGAAAGCAGAGCAGAAAGTGGTATTTGGGTTTCGAATCCGGTGATGTCGTCAAAAGGAGTGCCGCCAGCAGACACAGCGAGACCACCAGCGAGTACAACACAAGCATCAAAAGCGTCTTCGTCGGGTTCGCATAGTCCTCCATCGTGTTGGCCCACCCGATGAGGACAACAAACATTGGCCCTGTAAAAAGCTGGAGGGCGACAAGCCAGCGGTTCCATCCTGCTGGATGCTCCGATGCCGTGGTCACTCGGTCGGGTTCGAGGCTGACGGGTTTATTGACCTGTGGCGTGACCGGTGTAGAGTTGGGAAATTGCGGTTGTTGTTGGCGGTCAGAGCCAGAAACAAGCGTCGAGCTCGAGTCTGGTGGCTGCTGTAGTGACAACTGAGATGCCGATGGGCTTATCATCGACCGTGACGACACGGACTTGGTCCTTCGTCGGTATTCCTCCCATTCTGTCTCGGGTTCCGCGAGGTTGGCTTCCATTACCGAGACGGGCACCGCAGTGTTCCCCGGCTGGCCGAACGGGGGAGAGTCCAAGAAATCCACTTCCGAGCTCTCGCCGTCGCCGGCATCCGTTTCGACGACCGGCAGTGTTGTGACGAGCAGAAAGATACTCGGTACCGATATCACACTGAGTATCTTGTCCCACCACGTCTTTTCCCTCCACCCCTGAAGTGTGGGAAACAAGGTTGCGAGAAGCACATGAGGAGGTGGTAGCACCGAGTAAGGCCACCATCTGACCGGTTTGGGCTCCTCTACTTGGTCAGAAAACCCAGAAATGGACTGACGGCGCATATCCAAAGAGTCTGAAAAGGGGAAAGCGGGTGGGTGTTCTGGTGAGGCTGGTGTGAGAAGGGCTGGAGACTCCATGAATCCGGGAAAAGGTGAGAGCGATGGTGACGAGTGACCGCTGGAAGTTCTGCTGTGTGATGGCGGTATTTGCAACTGCAAGCGTGGAGAAGGCATGGGAGACTGCCCAGGCGATTGCTCTTCCCGCATCGCATGGTCGATGGCTGCTGTCAAAGAGCCTAATGGTGGTGCAAGCATGCCGTCAACGGTGCGGCTTGCTGAACTCATCCGGGTGCTCGGTCTGCCATGGGCAAACTCGGGCTGTGGAAGAGCATCGTTTGGTAGATTCAGGGGGTTGTTGCCGTGTGACAGCGCTCTTTCTCTCGAGTTTGTCGGTAGATGAGCCGGCAGGGTACTATTCCTGGGACGGCCACGAGGAAGTTCGGCAGTAGAGCTGGCCCGTTGGTGACCAGAGTTTGCTCGAGTAGGAAGGGGCCCCATATGCATATTCCTCGCTTTCTGTAGCGAGGACAATACAGATCGGAACTCCAACACACCGACGAGGCTAGGTCGAATAGGAGCAATAGTGGTGGTGTTGCTCCGAGTCCATCGAGGGCGATTTGCACGCATGCTGTTGGCCATCTCCGTCGCAACGTGCAATTCTCGATCTTCTTGATCTTCCGGTGACGGCGCGGCCGGGACCTCAACACCATCAACCTCGATTCGTGGAGCCCGCTCCAAGACACTGATATCGGCAACCTCCGGAGCACTGCTCGACCGGCCACCCACCGGTGCCGAATCATCTTCCGGCTCATCACGATACGGCTCGAACTCTTCCGTTCCCCTACCCGAAGGCCCGAAATAGTGCGTACGGGACGCAACATCTCGTAATCTTTGACGTCTCCTCCTAGCCGTAAACCAATGCCACCCAACAACAACCGCCACATAAAATAGGTAAAACCCAATCATGCACAAACACTCCCACAAGTGCAGCTCGCCATCCGCCAGACAAACCATCGTAAAGCTAATAGCCACGATGAAGAAGGCGATGTCTCGCACAAAGGTGCGCTTGCTGACCTTAAATTCCCGCACCAACGCCATGGAACCCGCCACAACGGCAGTAATGAAGCCAGCCGCTCCTATCAGCTCGCCAACGGCCATACTCCCGCTATTAGACCCCATGGCGGCAAAGGTGCTAAACACATCCGGAGAGCCATTTCCAAACGCGAGAAACGTAACCCCTGCCAAGCTCTCACTCAGACCCAGGACACTGGCGATGGTGCTGAGATTCACGCTGAAGAAGTCACTGGCGGCAATCCCGATAGTCGTGAATAGCAAACCAAGCCAGCTGGCAAGAATCGCAAAGGCGACGGGTTTCGCGCCGCCGAGGGTGCAGTAGTAAAACGACAAGTAATGGACGAGCCCGGCTTCGTCGTCTTCGCAGTTGGCGAGGATGAAGGCGCACTGGTCCTCGGCGGTGTGCACCATGCGACAGTCGACGTCCTCCACTCTCGCCACATTGTCGTTGACATGTCGCGCGACAAGTTTCGAACTGCGCCGGTGTAGTTGTTGGCGACTGGCGATATCTGATGCTGGCGAGAAGAGCGCATAATACGTCGTTATTATCATGATAAGCAAGAGGGCCGTCACAACAGGGCGGGAGCTGTATCTGCTCCGCGTGCGGAGAGGAGGTGGCATTCTGTTCGTGGTATCATGGCATTGCGCGGCAGCGGACTGAAAGAAATCGATGCGCCGGTAATGGCGAAGCCGGCGTGCGGGCCGTGGAGCTATATAAGTCTCACCGGGCGTACCGAATTGTTATTGTTTTGTCCTTTTTCCAAGAGCAGGTCGTAGCCGACGGTTGGGTAGCTGCTTGTTTCGTTAAGTATGAGATCATCCCTCTAGCGGTGCTCTCAGGTAGGAGCTGGCTTGGCACCGGGACGAGTTAGCGAACAAAACGGTCTGGGCCGCGTGGGCTTCAGCTCTCTTTGGTGGCACCTACAACAGCGGCGGTGGCGAGGACGCTGATTGGGTCCCAACAATCAGCGGGTGTCGAGACCTTGGCAGTTTGAAACGGCATGCGTCGACGTGTGATATGGGTGCATCGTGAGGAGACTGAAGATGGGCAACATCATGCGGAAAAGAGTCCTGATGATAGGCCAACTGGGATAAACACTACCTAGAGGCGCAACTAACTCGGTTGTTGACAGAAAAGATGAGTGCACTGACAGAAGGATTGAGTTCAGGTCAAAGGTCGTGGACCAAAAGGCGCAAGAGCTTTGTCTCTTCGAAGTACGATGGAAGCATCATGATGAATATCAAGCGGGGGGACGTTGGCATAAAATCAACAGAGCACAGACAGTCACAACCGTCATTCCTTCAAAACAAATCCAACAGCCCTAATGCAACATGTCGTTACCTTTCAGTTGCAGCCATCCGCCCGCCCATCAAGGAGCCGTCTGACCGCTTTGCTTTTGCACGTTGAAATCTTCCCTCTCAAAACCCAAACCCCCGGATTCCGCCCAGCGATATACCCCACACTCCCATTCCTTATCAGCACGTGTTCCTCAATACGCACGAGCCACATCAGACCCGTTGCCAGCCAATCGCGCCGTCGCAATCGGTTTTGCAGTTCGAGGCCCAAAGTAAACAAACAGCACCGAGAAGGGAGGGGGGTTTGTCGCCGCCAACAAATCAATCAATCGCCAAATTTGAAGACGCCGAAACCATCAACGACAACCACCACCACCACCACCACGAACCGACGCCAGGAGCGCGACAACCTGTTTTTCTGATCGCCTTTTTGGAACAGATGATTCGACGACAATAACAGCGCACTCAGAGTTCAAAAATCAGTCCAAGATGCCTCGTGTATCAGCGGCGCACCGCAGAAGCGTGAGCCGGGTCCCCTCGGGGAACATGGCCGCCTCACCCTTCAAGTCGCCAGTAAAGTGCGTTTCACCTCCTTCATGCCCACCTCTCAACAGTCCCCTAACAATGCCACACCAGAATGCCCCTCAACGACGACGCCCAAGAAAAAGCCCAGCGCTCCCACGGCCGCAAAGCCCTCCACGAAGCCCACGTCAACCAGCTCCGTCAAGCCGCCACCGAAGGCGCCGCCCGCGCAACCACCCCCCGCCGCCAGTCCCTCGCCCTCGTCGACCTCGACGGCGTAGACTCGCCCGACAACTCCCAATCCAACCCCCGCACTCCCAACAACAACCGCCGCCGCCGGCACAGCGGCAGGGAAAACTTCCTCGACGACGAAAACGACGTCGTGATCGGCGGCAAGGCCGTCACGCCCATGAAGCGGGTGCCCATCCTGGCCAACTTTGAGGAGTGGATGAAGATGGCGACCGACAACAAGATCAACGCGGCCAACTCGTGGAACTTTGCTTTGATCGACTACTTTCACGACCTGAGCTTGCTGAAGGAGGGGGATGGGGTCAATTTCCCAAAAGGCGAGCTGCACGCTGGACGGGTGTGTCAAGATTTACACCAGCAGGGTGGACAGTGTGGCGACCGAGACGGGCAAGTTGCTGAGCGGGTTGGCGGATAGTAGGGATAGCAAGAGGAAGAAGGGGGAGGAGGAGGTGGATGAGGAGGAGGATGAGGTGGATGAGGATGGGAATGTGAGGAAGAAGGCCAAGAAGAAGACGCAGCGGTCGTCTGAGGCGACGCTGGCGCCGTCGTTTGCTTCGTTGCAGTTGAAGAAGTTTGAGCTGGAGTTTGCGGTGGATCCGCTTTTCAAGAAGGCGTCGGCGGATTTTGATGAGGGGGGTGCGAAGGGGTTGTTGTTGAATCATTTGATGATTGATTCGCAGGGGAGGATTGTGTTTGATAGTAGTGACGATGCGAATGATGCGTCGACTTCGAGGACGAGGAAGAAGAAGGCGGAGGAGGGAGGGGTGGAAGGGGAAGATGACGAGGGTATGGATGGGTCGATGCAGGATCAGGAAGACACGGAAATGCCCGAGGAGGAGGAGGACGAGGGGGATATTGAGATTGATGTTGTCGGGCTTGGGCAGAGGTTCTTCCCGGACCTGAGCCGGTTGGATGAGATGGATGTGTGTCCTTCGCTCAAGGAGTTTGATCTTGGCGATCCTTCTGGTTCGCTTGACATTCCCTTCCTTAGAGCGCCGGAGGATTGGCGAGACCAGGAGAAGGAGAAGACCCCCGGGGCTGGCAACAAGTCTGAGATGTACATCGACGACGAGAACCCCCTCGGCTTTGACGACTTTGACGGCCTCGGCACCTTCGATCTCGGCGGCGATGTAGCCTTCGGCGAGGGCGGTGAAGCCTGGGCTCGTGAAGCTGCTCTCGAACCCCAAATGATGCGTGTCTTTGACGCCGGCCTCGGTTTGGGCAACGACGGCGGGGAAGCAGAAGGTGAAGGCGACGCGGTCGACCTCATGGACACGGCCAACCCAGACTACGTCATCTCCATGACCCACGCCCAAAAAGCCGACAAGGTCCACGAGGACATCCTCAGCTACTTTGACCAAGCCCTCCAAAAGAACTGGTCCAACGCCGAGCACTGGCGCATCCGCAAGATCAAGGACAACAACAAGACCACCGAACCTGCCAAGCAGCGCAAGGAGAAGCAGCCTTTTGAAATCGACTTTGCCTCGCCCTTGGACCCCGCCATCGCAGACGCGATTTACACCTCTGCGACGTCAAACACAACCATTTCCATGGCGAAGAAGGACTGGAAGTCAAAGACGCGGAACCTGCTGCCGGACGACAAGCACTTCAACAGCAAGCAGCTCCTGTCCTTGTTCCTCAAGCCCAAGGCCCGCCTCCACAGCAGGAAGAAGCTCACCTCGGGCCATCACGACGCCGTGTCCGCCCGCCGAGCGGAAGCCTTGGACAGCAACGGGCCGGTGGAGCTTAACGAGGCGTTTTGGGCTTCGCAAAAGGCGCCGGAGAGCAACCCGCTCTCGGATGATTTACCGCAGGGAGACTACGATGCGAACTTCTTCCAGGATGACGGGCTGCCTTTTGCGGGTGGGGATGCGGATGATGACGACATGGATGATGAGTTTGCGGATGCGAGGGAGCACTTCTCTCCGGACTTGCCGTTGGGGAATCAGGGGGGCATGACGGAGGTGGGCATGACGGGGGCGTTTGGGGGGATGACGGTGACGAACCCGGCGGATCTGGCGTTTGGGACGATGCTGGTCACGCAGTCGAGGAGGGTGAGGCCCGAGTATGTCCAGTATGCGAGGGTGGCGAAGAAGGTGGATGTGAGGAGGTTGAAGGAGGAGATTTGGAAGGGGATGGGGTTGGAGAAGTTGGAGGTATGTACCGGTCGCCCACATACTGTTTGGGGTTGTATGATGATAATGATGCTAATGATACGTGACAGGAGGCACCACCCCCTGCCCCTACACCTGAGAGCCCCACGCCGGAGGATCCAGAGTTGAAGTTCACCGATGTGATGAACGGGCTGCAGAGGGTGTACCCCAAGCCGGTGATGGATGACATCTCGACGAGTTACTGCTTTATCTGTCTGTTGCATTTGGCGAACGAGAAGGGGTTGGTGATTAGCAAGACGGAGGGGCTGGAGGAGTTGACGATTAGGAAGGACTGGGGGGCGGAGATTTCGATTGGCGGGGAGTAGAGAGTGTGTTGTGTATTATGTGGGAGAGGGAGCGTATGTTTTGTCATGTTGACCTGGTTGTGGGAAAGCAATCGGTGAACTGGTAGAGTGAGAAACAAAAGAAGGTGGTGGGGGGATAAAGCATGGGAGTAAATGTTGGGTACCTAGCTTGATGGATGGTTTGCTGGGGGTTTGGTGTGTTTGGAGTTTGTTACGATAATGACTATTTTCCATTGTTATGTTCATTCTTGTTTTGTTCCAACTTGGTGTGTTGGAGAATGATAGCAATGCTGTCATCTTGCACTTATAAGTGGGAGATGGCTTGTGTGCGATACAATTTCTCAACTTTGCCCGTCGTGGAATGATGCTCGCTTAGAAACCTTTTATTCCTCTATGATTGTTGGCGAATCAGCTCTCATCCTCATGTTTTCTTCTGTGGATAGATGTGTTCCTCATGTCCGCCGTAGTTGCTAATGTCGCCATCTAGAATATGAGGTCGTCGTGATGAAATAAAAGTGACATTCTGTGTTCTTTATCAGTCAGCGTGTAGTTCCATTGGGATATGGCTTCCCCGCAGCTCAACTGGCAAGGCTTATACGCAAAAAACCCAATGCTCAAGGGGTTTGGCCCCAGTCTCTCTATGAAACAGGTCAGTCCAAGATAACCCGCAACCAGACTTGCTTTCTCAGTACTGTTAAAGCACTGGGAAAGAAACAAGGGTGTTCGAAAGTGTTATGACAGGTTGCCTCTAGGAAGTAAGCATACAACAACATGTATAGGCTCGCATGTACTGTAGCAACTGCCGTCTATCGTCTTTATCTCGTCTCATCTAGTCATACCCATCGTAAATCGTCCCTACCACCCATGCCGTCCATCACTTCTTGCCGTCGACCTCCCCGTTGCTCTGTTTGTCGGCATTGGTGGAGTCCTCCCCCTCCTCCAGGTCGTCAATGTTGACCCCCAACGAGGCCAAAATCTCATCCAACTTGCTCTCTAACTTGGTCAGGTCGTTCTCCAACGCCGTGGCAGTCTGCTCGCCCCTGTTTGTTTTCATGTTGATCAGCGGGCTGCAACCTAACACAATCATCTGGTTCACGATCTGTGCTCTGCGGGACCACCGTCCAGATCGGGCGATATGCCATAGTAAAGACTGATCTCGTCGTCCTTGAACTGTGGTTTCTCTTCCTCCCTCGTGGCCAGGAGTTGGACTGGAGTGCCGAAGCTTTTCGGATGTAAAGGGGGGATGTGGACAAATTCCTGTTGGGTGATACCTAGGTAGGAAGGGGGCCGGATCTCAGCCCGCCGCGTCATTCACACGGCAACCATTGCGACGGGTGGACCATGCAGTATTTGGGCCCTTCTGAGCATTCTACCCAACCAGAGGGCAGGGGAAACTATCCGTAGGAAGCTAAGCTGTGGCTCGGAAGCGTGTCCTGCTGACTTCAGACAGGGCTGCCGGAATCTCTGATCTTTCTCCTCTTTGAGGAGCGGTGTATACGTAGAAAACCACAGATATGTTGGCCAAAGGGAGCGGCATGCAGGGAGCAATGTTAAAACCCTATTCGTAAGGGGTAAGGCGGCAAAGAGACCCTGGATATCTCATGCCATGTGGATATGCGTTTGCCAACGCCCACGCAGGGCCGAGCCGGGATGCTACGGGAGTTGCCATGAACATTCGAATAAAACACCGAGAAATGAAAGCCGCATCATACCTAGCAAGATCTTTTAGGGCCTGGACCGCAACGGCAAGAGACAGGACGTCAGCAAAAAGCGTCCGGCTGGAGACGAGGTATGAATAGGGGAAAAGGCACGGAGATAGAATGAATGGCATTGCCGGTATCGAAAGCTATACCGGCACCTTCACCAGCCCAGCAACTATGCTTTGCTTGCATGGCATCGTCTATATGTCGTGGGACAGATCGCTTACCTGCGCCAAGTTCTCACCAACCGACGCTGAGGGGAGCGGCGACGACGACGAAGATGACGAATTCTCATTCCGAGGCGGCTCCGTCTCGGAGGCACCGTTCTCGGGTGGGGAGTTCGGCGACGCCATGTTCGGTATTGATATCAGGAAATTGTAGAGTGAGTGAGTTTTGGTAAAAAAGAAACAAAGGCCGATGCCGCGATATCCACCGAAAAATGGCCGTGAGGTTTGTGATGGTCCAAAGTTCAATAGCGCAGCAGCTGGAACAGCGGTTCCGTAGTCGGTGCTGCCGATGTGCCCTGTTGAAACCGCAAATGCTTGACACCAACAGACTCCTCTCAGACAAACGTACGATTTTTGCAGCAAGGCTATGGCGTTTTGGGCGATGACTGGGTGTCGAGCGCTTTTGCGACAGCTCCCCACAAGGCTTGGCTCAGCGGAGGTGTGTTGTCGGAGCTTGGCTTTGCCTTTTTTCTTTGGGCGCTGGCCGTAGCCTCGTAAACCGCACTTGTCCTCAACAGTCCACGTGCTGGAGTTGAATTTGACAGAAGGGGGGACACGATCCAGCAGGTTCAGACGGCAGGTAGGTATGTACTCCGTGTGGTCCGGAGTTGTTCGCATTCGGCTCAAGATGAAGATGTTGGGTTAGGATGGGATGGAAGTTGTTGACTTGCAGGTTCCTCTGGGAATATCGTGCCGAGAAGAGACCCTTGTTTGTGACGTGACTTGCGGGGGCGGGAGGAGAAGGGCGGAGACGTTTAAACGTTCTAGACTCTTGATCGATTTCCAGGAATCTGGACTGCAGAGCTCCCTGTTCATCAGTTGGCTTGTGCGGGCCACTCCATCAACCCCACCATCGATCAGACGACAGCCATCTTGAAGCCTTGCGACCATGGCCTGATTGCGAACCGAATTGTCCTATGCTGGAATTGGAAATCCCATTGAAACGGCACTTGCCAACGGCGCCAATGACTGGGAATTTCCCATTTGGGTCTTTTAGGGCAATTAGGCCCTTTTGCAGATCGGATTTCTCTCCGAGAAGTCAACATTGCCCATTTTGACTCGGCCCGGATTTTGCCCATTACGAACCTTGAACATGACCCATACAGAGTGGGTGTGGCATCGCATAATGTGCAAAAGATTCGATCACGGGGCAAAATGTCGATGGTTGACATTATCAGGAATAATTGTGCCTGCTGGCTACCTACCCTATGCCCCTCCATGCGAATAGTTTATGTATGCTACTTCGTAGGCCAACGGTATTTTCCGCCAACTATCGTGTCTTTACTTTGGTAGCAGCTGATCACAATTAGGAACCTCAGGTCAGCGAATAGAGGGAAAAAACATTCCGTCGGTCCCGTCGCAGCTGGGACCAGAAGGGGTGTGTTCCCTTTCTGAGAAACAACTGAGCGGGTTGTGAATCACTGCTTGCTACTGGCTGGTGGTGCCTGCCACCCTGCCGTGAGTCCGTGACGGCCCTCCCACGCCAGCTTGGGAAAGCGGCGGGCGGGCGACTTCTGATTGGTGGGGAGCCCTGCTGATCCATCATTATCGTACGTTTTTTTTTTCATGTGCCTCATGGTGTCGATTAGGATCGAGATCCCCCTTGCTCGCTTCCCCCTCCAAGTGCCCTTCCGTTGTCCGACGCCCCGACTGAGTTTGGAGTTTGCCATGTCGCTTTGGTTGGTCGTCATCATGGCATTCATATCAACCACGGTTAACGCGAAATGGCCAACAATACGAGCACCACAACGAGATTGCCCTGCCGCCCATGGGCCGTTTTCGTTGAGATCTCGATCAAACAGCCTGTCGACCTATCGCACCGGTGTTACTTTGCCATCTTTGAAGAAGAATGCCCATGACCGAACCTATGATCCGTAGATCGGGCCATCTCCCACAAGGGTACCGCCGGCTGCTGCTGGCTGCCACTGAAGCCGAATGTTAGACAGTGACAGGTGGTAAACTGCTGGGTGTTGCTGCTGCTGGAGGAGGTCGAACATCAGTGGAGAAAGGCGCTGTGCTGCAGACACGGCGCCCTCGCATCCTGTGCCGATTGTAACTGTACTTTTCTGGCAGGGGAAGAGAAGCTCCAAGACAGCGTAACAACTATCGCCAAAATTTAGACGTCCATAGTGTACGGCGGTACCCAGCACAGGCGGTCCTTTCCCGAGGAGGCTAGACGAGTACCTAGGAACTTGACCCGCTGTCCACAAATCAGCCAATTTTGGGAGCCACGCACTGGGATTGATTGCCTCGACTTTTAACGTACATACATATGTACTGCTTGTACTATATTGATCCCCATGTCGCTGACACCGCAATTCTCCTGCCCGCCAGATAATTAACCTGCGCACTGCTTTTCAGCCAGAGTCCAGGCCCAAGCACAGATCGAAGCCGATTTTTTTTAATCCCACGCCCAGCATTCCGCAGCAAGACACCGACGGCGGGTACCTCTGTACTAGGCATAACCCATTCGAGCAAACACCCCCTGGCATCCCCCGAGCCGGCTCCGGTTCCGTGGTCTGTCTGTATTCTGTAAGTACCCTGTGCCCTCCCGGCGAGCAGCCACACTTGTACACCCTTCCACTTCCATACCGATTTCGTCCCACCTCAACCAGCTCCTGTCTCTCCTCCAATTCAGCATGTCATCGAGATCTTGACCTCTACCCCACCCCCAATAGCCACCACTGCCCTTCAAGAATGCCATGTTTGCTGTAAATCCCGTCTAACATTCCCATTGACTTCACCACGAGAAGCACCCCAGCCAGCAACACTTGCCGTACAGCAACAGCCCGATCGCGAGTTTCGGGGCTCCCACTCATAAGAACCCACCGGCCAGCGAAGCTCGATTCCTCTCGACCACCATCCCTTGACATACAGTCCCCTTCCAGTCCACTGTGTTGTTTTTGTCCACGCCTACCGAAGCTCCGAGAGCGCACCACCACGACCCCGTCCCATAGCTTCAGCTTACACAGCCGAGCCGCGTTCTCCAGGCCCGCTCTGATTCGAGAGCCTAAGGCACGGGACGAAAGAACCTAGACAACTTCGAGCCCAAATAAACAAACACGCCTGTTACACCGCGAACCAGCACCATACCTCAGCAGTACACGAGCGAGGCTGAATGACGCAACTACTGTCGACCGTTTTTGGAGAGCTGGGCCTTGCCCAGTACTTGGATGCGTTCCTCGAGCAAGGGTTTGACACATGGGAAACCATTTTGGATATTACCGAGTCCGATCTGTATGTTTACACTTGGACAGAGAAGAGGTTAGAAGAGAGACAATGCTGACATGAAGCTCTGCGAATAGCGACACGTTAGGAGTAAAGTTGGGTCATAGAAGGGTATGAGGCGCCAAATCTAGGTGGAAACTTGTCAGGTGGCTAACGTTTTGCGAAAAGAAACTTCAAAGACGGATTGCGAATACAAGGGGCATTGCGCCGGATGCTTCTCTCGTCTCGCCCACCCAGCCAAGCATTGAAGAACTGAGACTTCAAGACGCGCAGAGGCCGGATGCCTCCAGGCAAGATGCCCGGGACGCAGGTGTCCTTGTGGTCACCAAACGGAAATACCGTCGTCATCCCAAGGTTTGAACTCGCTCAAGTGCCTTGGTAGAGCGACGATGCTGACGCTACCTAGCCTGACGAAAATGCGCCAGAGCGGCCGCCCTCGGCTTACGTGCTCTTCTCAAACAAGATGCGCGAGGAGCTGAAGGGTCGAAATTTATCATTTACCGAGATCGCCAAACTTGTTGGCGAGAACTGGCAAAGCCTCAATGCTTCTGAAAAGGAGCCCTATGAGTCCCAAGCGCAGGCGATCAAGGAGAAGTACCTAAGCGATCTTGCCGAGTACAAAAAAACTCCCGAGTACAAGAAGTACATGCTGTACCTGCAAGAATTCAAAGCCAAGCATGGCTCTCCCCCTCAAGGTATGTTGCGCAAGTATCTGCACTTGGGCCAGCTCCGACCATGATCTGATATTCGGGTTACTTAGATAAGGATACAGGGAAAAGGATGAAAATGTCTGATGGTGAAGGTTCCAACCGCACGAGCCCCCCAAGGACTGGTCAACATCGCTCCAGCAGAAGCGGCAGCCAAGAGGACAGCCGCAGAAGCAGCGAACCCCCAGCAAGCCGGGGACAGAGGCTTGGATCAGTCGTGTCGATGAGCGAATCTCAGTACTCGACTGCCACAACCCCTGGAGCTTCTCACGCCTCGCCAGGAGACGAGCCGATACACTCGCCCACGATCAGCAAAACCGAGCGCCACGAACGATCCCCCGCGCTCAACTCGATGGAGGCACCGAGTCAACGAACCCAACATTGGAGGGACGAGCCACCCAACATCCAGAGGCACCTCCCATCCTTGTCGGACGTTTTCGAAGGTCAGAGATTTCCAGGTGGAATGCACTCGGTCGAGATGAATGGGTATCGGTTCCCGCGCGAGCCTCTACCAAGCCCAAACGGCCACCCAGGCCGCATCGAGGGTGGCGATAGCCGGCCACCAACCCTCAAGAGCGAGCAGTCGACGTCTGGGAGCACATCCTCGGGCTCGCCTTTTGGCCAGCCAAGAACGCCAGTCGATGGCCAGCTGCCAATACACGCGCTGCTGACATCGAAACCAGACCATTTCGATCTCAGCCAGCAGCAACACCAACAGTACCCCCTACAGCAACGACCGCCACATATCTTTCAGGGTGGCCCATACCCCAGTGGTGCCGGTATTTTGCCAGCAATTAATGGTGCGCCTCCCATCCATCCAAAGATCGGAAAAATACTGACATGGATGCCAATGCCAAAGGTTATGCCAGGCCCGTCCTTTCGCAACCGCCAGTAACCGCACATTCCTCCAGCGCGGGTTACCCCTCGCTAGCATCAGCTCAAGCACCAGCTCATCCTCGACAGGCCAGACATCCCCATCCCCAAGCTGGGAACCCAGATGCCGCCAGACTCGACGGCATGAGCGCGTTACTGCAAGCCGGCGAGATTGTCAACCGTCGAGCCCAATAGAAAAGGGGTCACCTCTCGCTGTTGGGACGTTTCTTTTTTGGTTTATATTGGTTGCATTATACCCTTGGGTGGCATGTGGCGGTTTGGTCCTGGGCAACACGCACCTGCTAATTTGGACCACTATATATTACCATGTATTTGGGATTTTTTTTCGACTGGGTATCTCAAGTATGGCGTTTTTGAGATGGGACCCGTACACTGTGATGACAATTTTGTACATACATCTCATTTTCTTTTTCAGAACAAAAAGGGCAATGTTAATGAAACTGGGACAATTCGTCATGTGTTTTCTATTGGCTTGTACATCAGGCTTATGTGCGTACAATCTCGTGCTTTTCAAGGACATATTCATGATCCCTCCCACCCTCTTCACGACGGGAGGGAGGGGAGGACCCACTATTCGTGTAAATATCGAACTTGCAGGTTTTTGTCGATCTTGAACAAGAGATGGGCTCCGTCCGGATAGGGGGTTTCATGGAGTTTCGGTTTTATTCCGCTTGACGGGACATATCTGCTGGAGGTAGGTAGGGTTAAGCGAGGGGTGGGTGGGAGAAAGAAGATCTCGATGATTGTGTTTTTTGCGGACCTGTCTCCGTGGTAGGTTGCCCCTTGGTATGTCTTATGCTTGCCCCGCAGAGCGCGTCATTGACTTTTCTGGGAGGGGGGGATGGATGAGTTTTGATGAGAAGGTAAAACGGTTGGATAGGTAGAACGGATAGGTATCTACGACTTGTATAAACTGGTTTATTAGTTAGTTTTTGGTGATATAAGAGTTCTGATATCATCGTCATTCATTGACAAGTGATGGGTTCGGCTTGGGGGGGGACATGAATGATGGAAGTTTTGTGTGGGACAGATGCTGAGTGTTTGTGCGTCTGTGTGATGGGATAGGTACGTTTGGGAGATGGATGATAGCAGATGATGAGTGAGGCTGTTGTGTGAGGGTTGGTTGCCTTTTCTTGCTCGATTGTGTGATGGTGGTAGGTTGGTTTGTGTATATGACGACGTCACTGTTGAGTCCAGAATCTTTCAAAACACACCATAAGGGGGAAAAAGGATCGGGATTTGCGATTTTACTTTTCTAGCATGTTCAGAGCTATGGGATAAGAAACAAGGTGATGTCTGGCAATGGGTTACGAATGAGGAAATAGCTACCTTGCTTATGTATGGGAAGTTGACAAGTCAATCAAGCAAACATCACAAATCCCGTATTCGATGACCATGGGATTTTTCGATCTGCATGTTTGGATTTTTCTACCGTCATGCAGCTGCAAGGGGGGGGGTGGGT